AAAAGAGTGATGTTTTCAAGCCTTTATTTCTTGAAATCGTGAGTTTGTTTTGTTTTATTTTTTTCATTCAGCTAATAAAACACAAAGTTTTGGATTAAACTATTACAGCACACCAGCAGAAATAAAAAGTTTTTAAAACAGAAATTTGTTATTAATGAAACCAAATTCTCTTTGCAGCTATTTAAACATATGTTTAAAACGTGCTTAAAGATTATTTATAAAACTTAGTTTTAATCTGATAAACAATATGACTATAAATCTGCTGAATATGCAGTAATAGGTTTGGGCTTAACTGCAACTTTAGGTGACTTCTATCAGTTTATCCAAACACACCAGAATTAGGGAAATGGTTGTTTGTGCTCTTGGATATTTTCCCCACCTCATCCATAATAAAGATGTTTGAAGTGAAGTGACGTTTCTATCTTTGTTTCAATGCTTTTTAACTGCATTTTGAGGTATTGTATTAGACAGGGTCTTTGCTTGATTTGATCTTTGACTTTTTCAAAAGAGTTAATAAGTTAACGGGAGATTAATGAATAAATGAATTAATGTAGTAAGGGAACATTTGTCTCTCATAATCAGCTGTTTTCACTGTCTGCTTTTCCCTAATATGCATTAGAATTGCATTTATTTTTCTACAAAAAAAGCATTTTATTCAACTGTTGATAAATGCATAGGCTGGTTGATTTGCTCTAACCAATAAATAGAAACATGCCTAATTTGTATTTTCTTTAGGTAACATTTTAAAAGGGGTCTTAAAATTGTAATGGCAGTTTAATGGAAACAAAAATAACTCTTATTTAATGTGAAAACTTAAATATTTGGCTGCAAGTCCCGTTTGAGCTCCTGATTGTATTTTGTTTTTCATTTTACTTGTTTATTCAATAGGGCTAAATATAATGAATGTTCCTTCATTTGTATATTAATGAGCAGTTTTTTTATAGATTTTTCTAGAGTCGGAAAAATCCTTGATTTAAAAAAACAGCTGACAAGTTTAGTTTTTTAAATTTTGATAAATGACTTCCTCCTGCTAGTATTTTTTATGTTGCACTAAATGGAGCTCCCTGCTATTTTGTTTATGTCACAGACTGCTCTGGCAGTGCGTATTCAGTAGGTCAGGGTTGTACACACTGAAGTTTGCAGATGTTTTGATACAAACAAAGCTTTAGCACATCAGGGCCTCAGTGTATCAGGATTAAAGGAAGCAGGGTGGAAAGCTGCATGAGTTTGCACATAAAATAAAAAGTCTAAAATCCTTGTTTAAATAATATATCATGGTATGCAAATACCTTTTCAAGTTTTATTTATTTTTTTTTATCTCTGTTGTTATAACCTACCCCAATGTGAATATTATATCCATCTTAGTATGTTTTGTTGGGGAATGTTTTGTCTGCAGAAATTTTTTCCATTTCTTCATCCCTCTGCCCCCCCCCCCCCCCCCCCCCCATCTTCTCTCACCTCCACTTCAAAATATGATAGACTTACTAATGTTTGTGCTGCAACTTGATTATGTTTACATAGTTTTATATAAGATCTGCCACATTTTAACTTTTGATTCTGTTATTGTCTTTTTTCTGTTCTTCATTTATGATCTATCCCAGAGACATATTATTTAAACCTATTTAGCTGCAGTAGAAAAAACCTCAACATTACTCTCGTTTTAGTGGGTTGATACATTTTTGATTTGTTATGATAATCCTAAAATAGTATTTTCTTTTTCTGTCCACAGGTGATTGACAGGTGTACGCTGCCTTTAGCTGTAGCTTTCATGTCTATACCATGAGCTGGAGCTTCCTGACACGTTTGCTGGAGGAAATCCACAATCATTCCACATTTGTGGGCAAGATCTGGCTCACAGTCCTCCTCGTCTTCCGCATCGTCCTAACAGCTGTGGGCGGCGAGTCGATCTACTACGACGAGCAGAGTAAATTTGTCTGCAATTCAGGCCAGCCTGGCTGTGAGAACGTCTGCTACGACTCTTTTGCTCCTCTCTCACATGTCCGCTTTTGGGTCTTCCAAACCATCCTGGTGGCGACGCCTTCTCTAATGTACCTTGGCTACGCTGTGAATAAAATCGCTCGTGCAGAAGAACAGGCAGATATTGGGGAACCGAGCAGATTATCACGAAACAAACTTAAGAAGGCTTATATGACCAACAGGAAGCAGCACAGGGGCATTGAAGAGGCTGAGGATGACAATGAGGAAGATCCAATGATCTACGAGTTGAAGGAGGCAGATGGTGATGGAGATCTGGATGCAAAGGGAGACAGTAGTGAGAGACAAGGGAAAGTAAAGGTTCGCCATGATGGTCGGCAGCGAATAAAAGAAGACGGACTGATGCGCATTTACGTGTTTCAGCTATTGGCCCGTTCTGTCCTGGAGGTGGCGTTCCTCTGTGGACAGTATGCGCTGTATGGATTTGCTGTACCGGCCAGATACGTGTGCTCAAACATACCCTGCCCGCACTCCGTGGACTGCTTTGTGTCACGGCCCACAGAGAAAACAATCTTCCTCCTCATCATGTACGCCGTCTCCGTCCTCTGTCTGGCACTGAATCTGTGGGAGATGCTTCACCTGGGCATAGGCACCATCTGTGAGATAATACGGTCCCGACAAATGCAGCTGCATGACGAAGAACTGTACGGACTCACGAGGAGAAACAAAGCAGTTCACGAGGCAGAGTTATGTGAAGATTATAACAGCTCCCGTTTTACCTGGAACGAACCGACGGCCCCTCCAGGGTACAACATCGCCGTCAAACCTCCCTCAATGTCAAAAGGAAACCACATCCCACCTCTTCCCATCACTGATCTCACCAACGCCAAGATCACTTGCAGACAAAACCACGTGAACATCGCTCAGGAGGAGCGTCAGCAGTACATTAATAATGAGGAAAACCAGAGCAGAGATGGGAGGGGAGATGGTCAGAGGAGTTCTCAGAAAGACGTCGGCCAGCCTCAGAAGAAGCTGAACGCTAACAACCGGACCTACAGTCAGCTGCAGGGGTACAGTCACACCAATAAGCCCAGCCATGAACGTAAACACCAGCAGTCCTCCAGGCATCCCTCAGGCAAGACCAGAACCAACAGGAGCAGCAGCGGCACGAGCAACAGCAGTAAATACGGAATGATAAAGGGTTCTGAATGGATCTGAAATAAACAGGCCATTCACACACTGAGACCAGCGGTTAGAACTGATGCAACTACATCACTAGATATTGTCTCTAATGCAACATTTTGTAACAGTTTTTATATATTAATGAATACAGTGTCTCTCCAACTGTATCATTTTTGTATGCTCTTCAGGGGAAAATAAAATATTCAAAATCTAAATTCAGTCAATACTATTATCTTTTGGACTATTTCTCCACTTTTGTTTATTTACAATAGACAGCGAAGTAATAGAAAGAATAGGCTAGATCCCATTACAAAGAATTAAGCATCTTTATGTAAAATTGTATAAAAGTAGAAATACATGGGATCTGAAGAAAGGCGATATTCAGTTATGAGTTAATGGAAAATTTACAGAAGTTATTGTTGGTGGATAATCATATCCCGGGTTTTTTGTGCCATTTTCATTTGATAAGAAAATCTGTTATTTCTGGCGGGCAGAGACCTCTATTGTTAGTGCCTTCATTGAAGAGCCAAAGAACTGTTTAACTGTGTCTAGGTAGGAAGTTTTTTTTCTCTATAAACTAGTCTCATTAAAATGGACAGGGCCAGTTTGTGTACAAATAATTCTAATTCTTAACTAATGTTTCGAAGTTTGTTTTTCCACTGAGCCAGCTTTATGTGGATTCTTTTCCTTATTCAAAAAGAACAGTTTGGAAAATAACATTTTACAATGTTCTTGGGTTTTTTTTTATTCTTTGGGTTTAGAAAAATAAAATTTCTTATTTATGTTTTTTTTTATTTTTTTTTATTTGATGACCACACTTTGATGTTTACGTTTAAAGTTAATAGAAAGGTTTGGTGTAGGTTTCAGTGCAACGTCTTCCTACTTTAGTTCAGCAGTTGGTCTATTCCGCAACCCATGCAGGGCCCAAACCTCATGTTTAACCTCGCCTACAGTAGATGTGATTGGTCTTTAAACTAAAAGGATGAGTTTGGTTTGTTTAGAGATATTTTTGTACCACCGAATAACTGCATGTTTGAATAAAAAAAAAGTCTATTTTCTCTGCCTAGTTTGTCTTGTATCAGAAAGTTTGCAAAGTAGAATTGATAAAAAAAAAATGCTTTTGCTCTTTGGACAAAAAAAAATTCACCTTAGGCTGATATTTACAGAAATATCGCCATCTCCTGTAAAGCAGTGGGAAAGCATAATTTCCTGTCCTTAATATTTAATTTAATTTAAAGAGTAAATATCAAGTGTATTACTTTGTTCCTTGAAGTATATATTTTGTTTATGTATTGTTATGTATATTATGTTTTATTAATAGATGAGTAAGTATATTTTTCTTAAGAAATAATTGGAAAACTAAAACGTTACATTAAATATTATTTTTACACATCACTTAAAAACTACAAAAGTACTTTAGTAAATAATCTGCTTAGGTTGCTCTGAACTTTATGATCCAAACCCTTATTGTATTCTAGTCTATATATTTTAAAGAACCGGAGGGATGTATTTTCAAATGTAGGCCTCTTTATATTGAAAAACCAATTGTGGACATTCAATGCTTAGTTAAATTATAAAATCTATTACTTTTAACAGCAGCATTGTGTGTCATGTTCTGTTCTTTCTTTACAAATCATGACTAAAATCTTGTTTCATAACTAAGTAAATATTTAATTCACAATTTATTTTCCTATACCTATTAAACCGCTAATTACAAACGATGAGCATACATACATAGAATAAATGTTGAAATTGCTTTTCATGGTGGAAAAAAAAAAACAGTAATATGGTTCACACTCCTTACCAATTGGTGGCGGTAATGCTCACCTAACGTTTTTGCCAACCGCCATAAAAATTTCAAGAAGAAGAAGAAGAAAAAAAACAGAAGAACAACGGATCTTGTTTCGCGGAAGTGACGTCGCCATTGTTTTTGAAAAAGCGGCGGCGGTTTAACATCCGAGCATTAGCAAGTAAATGGACATATTTTATATCAATGTTTTTAAGGTGATAACTCGAGGTAAGTCGAAACTTACAGTTAACAATTTACCGCATGTGTTTGAATGCGAAGATATGTTTTAAGTTCAAACGTTTCACGTCTCGGTGTCTGTTTTGTGAGGAAAGTTAAGCTAGCTAAAGGGTAGCTAAAGTTCGTGACTTGACTTCGGCACTTAAGTTTTTTCTTACACTGTTACATAAAATACTCCTAGAAGTTGCAAATTACCTTCATTAGAAAAATAATTACAACTAAATAGGGCTTTTTCCTAGTTTACCCTTGTAAAGACAGAAAATATAATTCCTTTGGAAAACGAGAGGAACCATAAACAACCCTACCTCTTAACTGTTTATTCGTTAAAGCTATATGATATTAGAAATCCATGCAAAAACTTAGTGTTATGTCTTCTTTGTCTAAGTCTAAGCTCTTTGGTTTTGGTAGGTGAATTATTATTATAAGCAAAATGGATAAAAAGTAAAAGATTCAATATTTGCATCTGAATGGCAGGATACATTTTTTTTTTGATGTTTCTTCCAAACAATGCCACCTCCCATGTCTTAGAAACAACTTGATTGTACTTATTAAAGACTTGACCACCTAGTACTTCTTTATTTATTTATTTATTTTAACACTTATGCTTTATTAAACAACATGAGTGTCCAAATATATTACTGGCATAGATGGCATCCATCAGAAATGCAGAGTTGATGACTAACAATGAAGGAAAAGGAATGTAAAGAGTTTTATATTGATCTTTTAGAAACCCAGATTGTTACTGAAGTAAAATAAAAACACTATTTGTTTTTTTGGTTTTTATTTTTCCCTTACATCAAACCCGATTATACATTTTCTGTCATAAATTTTTTTTTATATTTCTGTAGTCCTGTGAACCCATTTAGTCATGCAGCCCCAGCAGTCATCACAGGAAAAAGGGCTTCTTGGTAGATTGTGTTCTGGAGACAAGAAACTAGAGGGGAAGACCTTCTACCTCGACAATGTGAAGAAACGCTCAACAACCCTGCTCCTGGAAGCCATATCTCTTTTAGGAGGGGTAAGCATCTAGGAGGATCCTACAGGTGTTGATGAAAACATTTCTCCAGTTTAGTTATTTGTTTATTTTTAATTGAGTGGTTTTGAATTAGGTTTTGACAAGGGAATACCACTGTTAATACAAATCAATGCTAAAAAGTAATGATAATCTTCCATTTCAATTTTAACTATTGTTTCCTGAGGATGTCATTTATGGCAATAGTAATTCTGAGCTCTGTATGTTCAGGTGACACTCAAGGAAAAGACTAGCTGTGAATTAAGTTTTATAGCAGAAGCTGATTTTGTTTTTTTTTGTTTTTTCGTCTTCAAAGAGGTTTGAGAGTTTTCTGCACAAGGATGTAAACTTTGTAGTGACTGGAAGCCATGAGAGCCTTGAAGAAGAGAAAAGCGTGTTTACTAAAAGTGAAGAGAAGGGGGCCAAGGAAGGAAGTCAAACTCTGATGGCGAAGCCTGATGGTGGCCTCAGCAAGGACAAGCGGCGACAAGCTACACCTCGACTGGTGGTAAAATATTTTTCTAATCATCAAACACAAACTGTGGAGCTGTAAACCTTTACAAATGAAAATCTGCAGGATAGTGTGTATTTATGTTCAACCCGTAAAGTCTGTTACTTTCAAAACACTTAAAGAATTGTATTCCTACAGCCGGATACTGGTGCTACCATACTTCAGCTTGGAGATGTTGTGTTAATTTTTGTTCCCAACTGTCCAGAATTCCTTAGTCTACATATTTACTGTGTCCCTTCCATGGCTTGTTGCAAAGAGCACCGCCAATTAATTTTTGTCAACTGTGGCTTCATTATAACTAGCTTACCATTAGCATCTTGATGTTAGCACTGTCAATTTAGGTTTCTTTGTGAGTTAAATCTTAAACCATACCTTTTTTTAATTCTGTGAAGAAAGGATTGAACGTTTTTGTCTTTTATGGGATGGCTGAATAATTGTATTTGAAATATAAATTCAATTCAACAAATCCCAATTTCTAAATTGCAGAGGCACTCAATTTTGGTCAAATTATCTAACAGGAGTAAAACACCGACTTTTTCACTTCAGCCCTTTAGGTTGCGGTATTACACTTAATGTGGGTTCTTCTTCACTTTACAGCACCATACTAACAGTCTTTAAACAAGCAAGAGTGGTTATAAAAATAATGAAACCATAGAGAGAAACATCTACATGTTAGTGTTAAATGCAAAGGAAAAGCAAAATACAATTGCAGTTATGGTAAAATAAAAAAAATGAACTTCTCTGCAAAAATGTTGATTTTTGCAGAGAAGTTCAGCCCTGTTTTCGTTATGTCTGTGGTCTTCCATATTTTCTGAAGAAAGCTGGCTAGAAAGTTTATTTTTTTCTAAGGATTCTGTTTTTTTTTTACTAATGTTCTCTAACAAACTTCTGAGATTAAGTAAGGTTCACAGATGGACTCTAGTAAGGTAGTTTAATTTTAACAACTGGATTCTATATCGAATACATATTATTCTTCGCTTTTCATGGGTTTTTGGACAAAACCTTAAAAAACAGGTTTTCTTCTGGTTCTATTATACAATTTCTTCCCCAAATTGTTTTGGTTTGTCACATAAAAATCCTAATAAAACACACAGAAGTTTTTTCTTGCAACTGAGGTGAAAAAAAAAACTTGCAAAGCTCTAAAATACGAGCTGTATGATTGCGTCAGGAAAATTTGCTCTAGTTTGTTAAAACCGAGCCCTCTGACCTAGTAAAGTCTGCTCCTTTGCTTAAAATTAGACTGGGTTCTCTTATAGAACAATATCTGGAATTTAGTTTTCATTTTCTTTAATAAAGTAAGAAAGATTTCTTTTACAACTTGAAACCTTTTTCTGCAATAATTGATTATTCATGGAAAAGTTGATTTCATGTGTGCTCTGGTTTAATGGGAAAAACTGTAATATTTTCTTTAAAAGTCTTAAGGCGTTTTAGATTTAACTTTTTTTTTTGTCAAGATCAGATTCATCAATGAACTTTTAAAGGCTAATAATCATCGTTCTTTCTTTAATCATCCACCTTTCTATTTTTTCTTTATTTTATTGTATATCTGATCTGATTTTGTTCCTTCAGGCTTGTGGCAGCCGGGGGAAGGCTCTCCTTGAGAAAGCTATTTCCAACAAAGTAAGGATTGGCAGCAAAAACAAATGAAAATAATGATCCTCTTTTTATATATTTGTGCTCTGAATGTTTTTAACTGTAACTGTTTCCGGGGGATCTGTAGGAGCGACAGCAGAAGAGCAGTGTGTTGTCCAATGCTCGATCATGGGGAGTCAAGATCCTGCATGTGGATGGTATCCTTTTGGCCAAGTTGAGGGGTTCTGACGAGCAGTACCCAGCACTCACGGTAGATGGCGTCATTTTAATTTGTTACAGCTAAATCAGCCTGGTATATGACAATAGTTTTAATAAACTCCTTTTTGCAATACTAATTAAATCTCCTGAATGCAAAGTAATACTGTTCTCCAGTTGTTAGGAGGTGTAACCTTTAAGAAAACAGTTAAAATGTGTGTGTTAGACAGTTTGCTGAGATTGGTAAACCATTGTGGACTTTCATAGCTGTGATGACCCTTAATCTGATGCCAGATGTCCTTCTATATCTGAAGCATTTAACTAGAGAGAGCTTCAGTGCTAAACACAGGAGGCCCGAGGTAAGTGTCTGGTTTATAGACAATACTTATAAGTTACAGAAACCTTAACTCATTTAACACAGGTTGAAAATGTGGAAGAAGTTATTGTTCTGATCATTTTAATGGGATGTGTTAACAGACCGCTAAGTAAATTAGTTAAACATCAGACTGTGAAAATGTGTTTTGAATTCTGATGCTATGTTTTTTTTTTTTTTTGTAACATTTATGTAGAAGTCGTCCACTAAACAAAGTTTGCCTGTTGTTAAAGGTTAGTCTTCCTTATTTCCAGCTTTATACTTCTCCACAATAGTAGTAAATGTCATCATTTCCTGACTGCTCTCATTGTGTTCTCCTCACAGCTACATCTTTACGGACTCCGTATCTTAAAATTGAAGACGTGAACCGGTGAGTTTCATTGTCTCAAAGTTATATAGAATTTGTATTGAATTTTTTTTTAGAATGAAAGAAAAAAAAAACTTTTGTAACTTTTTTTAATTAAACCATATCCCCAATTTTTTGTGGGAGTCATGTAAAAATATCCTGCTCTCGATGCACTCATTCGGTCGTTTTTCATTTGCCCTCAACTAAGTTTCCTAATTAAACTTGTTAAGATGTCCTATTATGTAAGGTAACAAGCCAACTCCCCCAGGGGATGAACACCCCCAGGAGCTTAGCGCTGAATCGTATTCAATTTCTTTTTGATAAGGCCTTGCTGACGAGGGATCTCAAAGTGTGAACACATCCTTTCATTTGGTCTCTCGTTTAAGTAATTGAAGTGCTCTGGTTAATGTCTGAAAATTGATCCCATTAGATCTGGAAACCCAGCTTGGGTCAGATGAATTATCAACCTTTTTTTTAAATCAGTGCATGTATATGTTTTATATTAAATACAAAGTCTAAGCTTTGTTTCACTTTATGTCGTGTTTCTTATTGTGTTTTGTTCATTTTATGTTTGTCATAAAACAGGAAATACAAGCCTCTGCATATGCAGTCTTTGGCCTTTCCTTCCCTTTACTTCTTGGGTCGATTTAGTCCCTTTGAATCTCCTCCTCCTCCGCTCTTCAAACAACCCTCAGGGCAAGAACACAATAAAAAGAGGTTTGTCATACTCTGTGTCTGAATATAAATGTCAAGCTTGTTGATATTCAATGTTTACAATGTTTTATTTGTGATTAGAGAAAAGAAAGCTGAAAAGAGCCTCCAGGGAAAATCTCAAACCCCGGTCAGCTGTAACCCCTCCCCTTGGCGGCTACGCAAAAAAGACTCATCCTACTGTGAATGCTGTTGTGAAACTTTTACTAACCTGGAGGAGGTCAGAGGTTTTAAGGTTATATTTTGCCTGTTATTTTATTTTCCCTGTTTTACCCCTCACATGTTCTTTTTTGCTGTTGTAGCATTTACAGTCAGATCAGCACCGTTCATTTGTGCTTGACCCCTCAAACTACAAAGCTGTGGATCAGCTTGTGGCTGAAATGCTTCCATGTTTTGACTCCAATCCACCTCAGGAATCAGAAGAAAGGTACGGCTTCATAGTTCGTTTTGGCCAATATGTGCAATACCTTGTGGAATTATTCACACCTTTTTAAACATTTTTTCCACATTTTGTTTCTCTCCTACCAAAAAAATATTTTAGAAACATTTGATGTAATATACTACTTTAAAGTTGCTTGGCATGTTATTGCAGCTTTCTCTGGTGGCATGCAAAGTGTATCTAAAGAGTACCGAATCCTGCTGATATTAGGGCTGCAACTAACGATTATTTTAAAAATCGATGAATCGGACGATTATTTTTTCGATTAATCGATGAATCGGACAAAAAAATTTTTTTATATTAACCTCTTTATTCCAAAATAAACATTTTAGACAGAACAAACAAGCACACAAGTACAGGTTGCTCATTAACTGTACTGGTGCAATATGAAAAAAAAATGTTTGTGTTAAAACTACGCAAACTTACATGAGAAATGTAGATGTACATCCACAAAATATAGGGTACTTTGTTTCATAAAGCGCAAAAAAAGACATTTTTGTTTTTAAAAGCCCCTAAGGGGTTCAAACAATAGGCCCCCCATTTCAACAAATGAGTTTTTTTAGACTAGAAGAGTTCTGCCTTTTAAGACAGGAAAGTATAGCAGTTAAAGTTGCTACTTGAGAAAATAATGAACCACAGAGATAAAAATAGCCCTGTGATTCAAATTATAAATTGTATTTGGAATAAAAATGAGAGAACTAGGGGTGCTAAAAAACACATCCTCCAAAGACAGATATTTACATGGGAATGTGGCAGATAATTAATTGACATATTACTGATCTTGCTGGATTTTATTCTGCTTTACTTCCATAAATTGCAGGATCTTCTTTACTTTATCTTCGCCAGAAGATTTAAACTTTAAAAGCCTTGCCCTCATAATTTGCAAGTTAATTTATTTATAAAGTAAATGTAAACGCTGCTTAAGCTAATTCAAATGAAATTAAAAGTAAAATAAGTAGCCAACCTTATCACTGTCTGTAACCTACTAACACGGTAAGGAAAGCATCAGATGAGCTACCTGAGAAACTAACGTAACGTTTCCCCACTTTAAAACCAAACAAACATGGTGGTTCCGTGCCATGTTAATTTCTTTTGAAAAAAGTTGCATGTTATCACTTTTTTCGCTTTACAAAGCGCAGGCTATTTTAATTATTGTGATCAATTTGCGCCGTCAATCCCGGTGCATGCGCGCTTCATTTGCAGTCTGGACGCTGAGGCTCTGACTGCAGCGCTGAGAGGGACTCCTGCGGGAGCGGGGGGAGGCGCCCCACGGCAGAGTAGGAACGATACATGCTTTCACGTAAGAGTCTCCAAAAGCCGCCAGTGAAACCGAAAAAAGTCGCCAGATTTGTCGCTAGTCGCTTTTTTGAAAAATAGTCGCTGGAGGGGTCTGAAAAGTCGCTGAGTTGGCAACACTGCTCCTGCGGCGCTGACTCGCTCTGCCATATTTTTTTTTCTTCCTCTTTCAGTCAAGAGGCAGTGATGACGGCGCGGCACAACTAATCGATGATGAAATTCGTTGCCAACGCTTTTAAAAGTCGATTTTATCGATTTTATCGATTCGTTGTTGCAGCCCTAGCTGATATATTTATTTAGTTATACATAATTTTGACTGCTGGCTTTCTAATAGTTCAGCAGCATTGCCAGCAGATGGTGTTTATGTTTGCTCGTTGTGTGTGCTTAGTTCTCCTAGAGCAGAGGTAACGGATTAGTCGACCGCGGTCCGGATCCGGACCCATCTGCTGGCTATTCCGGACCCAACCTGTTTTAAAACATTTAGAAATTAATGCATGTTGTCCGACGACAGTGTCTAAATTCACTTGCACCACTTCTCTTATTAACATGGTAAACCCTTCTGGAGCGTACACGACCAGGCTACATGTGATACAAATTAGCCAATGAGCTGTGTCAGCCTGGGTCACTTCTGCGAGCCACTATTAGACACAGGAGGCAAACCTGTGGCAAGCCGGGCGAGTATGTTTGAGTATGTTTGGCTCAACCTACTGCTGTGAAGCAGGATTCTCCACCATGAACAGAATCAAAAATAAATACAGATCCAGACTCAAAATGAGCACCATGATATGTGCTTGAGAATGGCTTGCCTCCATTCAAACCCAGTTTTAAAAGCATGAAGCCCACTGCTCTCCTTAAGCCATAAAAAAGAAAACAACGTACAGTCAGCTCAGCTGTAGGGCTGGGTATTTTCGCCAAAGTCCTAAATCGATTCGATTTTAATTCATACAGTTCTAAATCGATTAATTTTGATTCGATCTGTTTTTACAATAATGAAAGTGGTTCAACTGTGTTTCAAAATTCTCATGTATTATTTTTCCTGTCATATTAAACACCAAGTGCAAACTTGTAAATCAGACAGTTTAAACTTGAGATGTGAACAAAACTATCTCAAAAGTGCAAACTTGTTTATGAAGAGTGAAAAAGTGAAGCCTCACTCGAGCAAGCAGACATGACACAGCAGACATGCATGAGCTGCATTATCTCCACTGCACAAACCATATTTGCAGTGTTATCTGTAACAGCTACAGGTTGTTTGCTGGTCAGCCCCAATTTGTTAATGTCTTCAGTCAACTTAGTGGCTATATTTGCAGCTGTCTGGCTTGAAGTAATCTTGAGTGCATCTTTCCTGCTTATTTGAATGTGAACGTCAAGTGGGTCACTATAAAATGAATCGATCTCATTCCCTAGACATCGGTTTAGCAAAAATGTAAAGGAATCGATTCAAAATTATTAGTCAGCTGTAGTGTTTTATAAAATATGTGAATCAGGAAATTGTTTATATAACAAACTTTGTTGTTTGTACTCTACTTCAAAAAACACTTTAGATTTTAAAATGGAATAATGTCAGGAAAAGCAAATACATTTTTTAATTATGCCAAAAGCTATGCTGTGGAAAACAAGGAGCTCTGTTCAGATGAGACCAAGACTGAAGTTCTGTTTGATTGGATGCTAACACGGCTAATAATCTTGGACTCATCTGGTCTATTGTGAAACATGCTGGCAGCATCATGGGAAATCAAATTTGGTTGAAGGCCATGATTAAAAATTGGAAGCTCTCCATCCAGTCTAATTGAGCTTGGTATATTTTGTAAAGAATAGTGAACAGCTTTCAGTCTCTAGGTGTTTAATTGGGTAGAGACGTATAATTAATTAAAGTTTGGGGTTTTGGGAAAAAATGCTTAAATGTTGAAGATTATGAATACTTTTCAAAGGCACGGTAGGCATTTGTAAAGCACGCCTTTAACTGTTCTCTTTTCCTTTCATTAGATCACCGACTCCTCTGCCTGTCATCGATGACTGTGAGCTAGAGCTGTGTTCTGACGTTGAGGTGGAGTATACTGTTCAGGTCCTCAAGAGAGACGATTCCCCCTTCAGTGGCCATATTCCCAACCCTTCCTGTGGTCAACCGTTGTGTAACCCGGCAAGTCCATCAAAAGGATTGAAACGTACAAGCCAAGACATTTCCTTTCAACTGACTGACAATCAGCCTGTTGTAACTGAGGCACAGCAGCAGTCCCATCAAGTCCAGCCTCGGGTTTCAAGCCCAACTATGCCCGTACTTACCATTGAACCGCTCGACCAACAGCTGGAACCTGATGCTCCATGTCTCCTTCCAGACCCTTACTCTCTCCCTCCAGTTCTTAGCCCCCAGGTTCCTTTTCCCCGCTGTGTTATGGATCCTTACGGCACCTACTCAGAACCCCCAATCCTCAGTCCTCAAAAGTACTACTCAGAAGACAACAGGGCAGAGCAAATTTGTGAAATGAACACTGAGAAAGGTGGTTTAGAACCTCTGCTCCCCACATTACTTCCTGTCTTTTTTGCCGGGTCCAGTTTGCAAGGGAAGTTGGATTTGAATTCACTTTGCAACACAGATTTAAAGTCTCCTCCTCGGTCATCAATTACTTCCAATTCATATCCTGGATTGACAGCTGTGGCACCAAACCCTAAAAAGCGCTGTAGATCAGCCAGTCCTGAACAGAGCAGTAAGAGGAGGAAAAGCCCTGAAGAAAAGAGTGGATGTTGCAGACAAAGGCTTAGCCCTTTAAAACAGCAAAGGGACAATCTAGCAAAAGTTGTGGCCTGTTCGTTGTACAGTCATGCGTCTTATCCTGTAAGACAAACCTTCCCTCAGATGGACCCAGAACAGATGGACCGCACAGGTTCCTTCTCCGCTGCTCAGAAATTGACTCAAACACTGTTTCAAATAGATTCTTCTGCAGGTCACCCACCCTTAAAAGGAACAGACTCTAAATCCCCTTTAGATAATAACAAAACTACATGTGCAATCTCCAGTCGACACTCTCAGCCCTCACCTTCCCTCTCTACCTCAATGTGGATCGAGCCAGCCCTCATCCCAGACATCGCCACGCACTCCTCTGGGTCAACAGACTCCGACTGGGACTGCGACCTTCAGTCGCCTCCGACCACCACAGAGCAGAACCGTGAGCTGGACAGAGAGCTACTCCACAGGCCTTGTCCCTGGATGCGCAACAGCAGCTACGAGTCTCACCTGCACACTGTCCTTCAGCCGTCGTCCCCGGCAACGTCGCTGTTCAGAAAGGATGCGGATTCTCCGACTTTTTCCAGAACTGTGGTGCAGATTGTTGAGGTTCAGCACTAATTGTATTTCTTTTACTAGATGAATTTTACTTGAAAGCAAGCAAGCTTGTCAAATGCTTTATTCTGAATAAATATTGACTTACAGCTTATGAAGTTGTTTTTAAAACTGATCCTTAACATTTCTTTGTCTCTTTCGAGCTGCGTTTTCTATGATTTTAACATTTCACTTTATCTTCTGTTGTAAAGTTGTGTTGGACTGCGGAATCTGATGTAATGTTGTGTTTTGCTGACTGCAGTCATTCGCTGTGTCCGTCAGAGAACACACGGCTGCATTGAGAGTTTAATGAGGCCATTTTGTGAAAGGGGAAGCATTACTCAATTACTCTAATTGCTATGCCTGGCTCAGATCCCACATGAGATGTTGATGGTCAAACAGCGGAGGCGTTCGTATAGCTGAGGATACAAACTCTCCGATGAATGTCATATAGCTGTTCCTGCCCTCTGAAGGTGTGCCGAAGGACAGGCTTTGTAAAATGCAGGTAGAGTGCCACACTTCCACAGAGGCTTTACTGGAACTTGTTTTAACCCCCAAGCCATAAAACCCATCACAAAAACAGTTTACAAATGATTTTATTTTACTGAAGACCAGCTGTTTTCCTAGAAATAATTATTACATAATGTCTCTTGTTTTAAATAAACAGTTTGTAGCTATTTTTCTGAAGACATTTTTTTTCTCCTGTCATTTTCATAAATGCTGACTCAGCTTGTTGGTATCAAAGTTAAAAACAAGGGTAGCTGCTTATCAGACCATCTCTGCTAACAGCATAAACCATGTTTGATAAGCAGTTCTCTGGATGTATATTTATGAAACTAGAACAAATCCAAAGCACAATATTAATGTGATATTTGAAGGTTTTGTCATTAAAATTACTGATTTTTTTTTTTTTGTCTCAATCAAGGTTAATATTGTTTTAAACTTCTCATTGGGTTTTTATTCAGACTTCTGATTTTAATTCTTTTAGTTAAGTTTTTATTAGTTTTAGTTGGTGCTGAACAGTTGGATTGATTATTGAAATAATCAACTAATTTGTTAATCGTTAACTGGAGTATAGAGACTAAAAAATGCCTTCAGCTGACAGAACAACCCACTTAGAGCAGTAATTTTAACAAAATTGTAAAAAAAAAAAAAATATATATATATAAAAAAAATTATTTGCATAAATTTTGAGATAAAAAAAAATGCTTTTATCTTTCAAAATGCTCTATTCAGAACTCCTGAAGCGGTGCATTTTTTGCCTCACCTGGTTAAATTTTGTAAAAAGTCTTTAAGGAACCTTTGGCTGTTCAATTATTAATCGATTCATCCAGAAAATGATCAACAGTCTGATGGATTTAAAAAAAAAAATTGCAAGTTGCAGCCCTAGTTTGTTATATTCTTGTTTTTTTTATGTAATGAGACTTGCATAACTAGGGCGAAATTGAGAAAAATATTAAAATAATACAAATAAAATCTTGCGTAAGAACAGAACCCATCAGCAACACAAATGTCCTACCTGCCATCTGCTTGTGTAATGTGGTACAGTTAAAAAAAAAAAAAAGTTAAAACGGAAACCAAAAACTACAGCTGGTATTAAAGAGGTCTAGGTTTTGTGATAAAGACAGAAACAAAAATAAGCAAATTCTCTCTTTAGTTGGTTCAATTTTGTAAACTCGGTTTCAGATATATTTTTTTGCGTGGTCTGAATTTTATTTTTCTTTCAGTTAACAAAAATATGTTTGTTATTCTAATTTTCTTAACTTCATTAGTTTCAGTCAACAAAAATAAACTCAGCTAGGCACTGAACTGCTGATGACAAACCAAGTCCAGTGAAGAAAATAGGTATTTGAATTTCGTGCTATTTTGTAAGTTCTCCCACTTAGAAATCATGGACGGGTCTGAAACTGTCATCGTAGGTGCATGTCCACTGTTAGAGACATAATCCAAATCCCCGCAAACACATTAAAACTCAGTAGAAGTTTATCTGGGGTCCCCATAATAAGTGCTATCCGGATGTTGCTTCTGAGCTGATCTGAGTAAAATGTGCAGTACTAGAAATTAAGAGTTCCTACAAAGATGAGAGTGTAGACTTTCTGGTAAATCCCGTTCTAATGTAAAATATGACAGATTACTGGATTAAGGACATTTCTAATATACTACATGCTATCACACAATAATTTTAGAGAATTTGGAAACAGTTGCTCTTTATTTCCCAAAGATATGAGAGAAGGGGATGGATATTTCAGCTGGCTGAAATAAACTGTTCCCCTCAATAACATGGGAAGAAATGAATTTACCTGCGAGTCTTTAACTGTGTTTATTCCTCTCTTCATCAACAACAAACCCACTGGATTTGGTGATATTTGATCATTATTTGCCAGAGTTATGAGAGGGAATTCATATATTTTAGCCACCTGATATAATCCGTTCCCCCTTTGAAGATCTTTATGAAATGTTTTTTTCTGTTTAAATGTTTATCTAACAATTTTCAAATATTCCAACAAAAAAAAAAACTGGACTTTGTTTTCCAAGTTTAAAGATGTTTCTCTCTCCATCCAGAAAGCTTTCTCAATTTATTCTCAGTCATATTTCCTTCTGATAACAGATAATGATCAAACGTCCCCAAATCCACAGAGTTTGTTGTTGATGAAGAGAGGAATAAACACATTTAAAGAATTGCAGGTACGTTTATTTAATCCCATGTTATGGAGGGGAATTGGTATGTGTGATAGCATGTAGTATACTAGAAATTTCCTTAATTCAGAAATCTGTCATATTTAACATTAGAACGGGATTTAGCAGAAAGTCTACACTCTCATCTTCCTCCTCAGGGCTAAGCCCCCGGTCTCCTAGAATCCTAGATCCTCCCCTGCTCTTGGAGCTTTATAAAGGCAGTTTCTAATATTAATGAACACATTTTAATGTCTTTCCCTGCGGTTGTAAAGATATATTTTTTTCTTTTTTTTGCCGGTTTAAAGCCATATTTTGTGGTAAAGCCCACTGTCTGTCACCATTGATAACTGTTTAGCACATGGGCGGTTCTAGACATGGGCCAATGGGGGCCAGTGCCCCTGTAAATCATGTCCTGGCTCCTGTACTGAAGAAATAATACTTAAAAGAAATTCTAATGATGATATGTGCTGGAACAGACATGGTTACTGATAGGTCCTTTGGATCTATTTCATTTTTTTTTCTTTATAACTGATGTTTTACTAATTATTTAAAAACAATAAGGTGATAGCTTCAGCAGAGGCATAGCCAGAACCTTTATATAAGGGTGGCCAGGCAATACCCAGTGTATACTAAGGGGTGGCCGATAGTGGATCGGCGCCAGAACCTCACGTTCAATCTACACTATTCCACCATGAAAATTAACAAGCAAAACATTCATTTTTTCTAAATAAAGACAAACTATACTTTCCTACAGTCTTTCCAAACAAATAGCACATATATTTAAACATCCATGCTTTCTAGATAAAAGATAAAATTGTTTCAGGTTTGAGGTCTGGGGCGAACATATTTTCCATTTTCATTACCTAGCTAATCATTGGGGTGGCCAATGATTAGCTAAGGGTGGCCATGGCCCCCCCTGGCCCCCCCTGTAGCTCCACCCCTGAGTTTCAGCGGTATTAAATTAAATTAAGTGTAAAATAGGTAAAATTCCTAAATTATGAATGTATATTGACCTCATAGGAAATTGAATTTTAATTTTACTTCATGCAGCCCTCTAAATATAATTGAATCATTTGCCATGTTTTTTATTTCATGCTTTTCTTTGCCCCCATGAAAACACGCCGGCACCCTCCTGCCCCCCTGTTAGATTTGGTCTAGAACCGCCACTGCAGATGATTAGTTCTGAAATCCTTAAAGGCTCATCTCTCCAAGTAGGAAGGAGGGTGAAACGCGTAAAGCCCCACGCGCTCCCTTTATTCCAGGCTCGCGGGCTCTTCGCTTGGTCTCCTTCTCTCTTGAAGCAGCCGACACACGCTCGCGCGCGCGCCCTGACAGGTGTGCTTTTGGTAACCCCCCTATCAAGAATAATTAATCGGTGGCAGAGGTCTTTGAGAAATGCGGACGCGGTGTTTGAAGGAGAGCAGCTGCCGTGTTCGTCCTCTCTGCCAGCATCAGTTCCGCTCCTGCCGCTTCTTCATCTAACGGCGCAGCATCGAGACAATCCCCGGGACTATGAGAGCATCATGCTCCCAGTGACATGCCTGCTGTTCGCCGCAGTCTGTGCGAGCTGCGCCGAGACGGGTAAGGTGAATCCTATGATTTCTGCAACGAATAAAACATTTTTTTTAACTCCCTCATGTTTTCCCATGTAATAATCAGAAATATGCAGGAGCGTAATGGCAATAGAGAGAGTACTTCAGAGACCCCTGAAAGGGACCCATTCATATCAGTTTTCATTGCGTGTCTCTCATACAGGTGTGAGGCTGGAGGGGAGGTTGCCCTCTGCAGAGGAGGTCGTCCAGCCCAAGCGGCTCTTGCAACAGATCCACTCAGAGGAAGAGCTTCTGCACAGTCACCTGGACACCCGGGTCAGAAACCTGCCAGATGGCATGCAGCAGGTATGTTTCCAACCATATATACTAAAATATTACACATATAAGGCTTAAAGATGCAGAGGCATAGCCAGAAAATTTTAATATGGGTGGCCAGTCAAAAACCAATGTAAACTGAGGGGTGGCTGAGAGCAGATAGGGGCCAGAACCTCAGGGTCCATCTGTTCCAACAGGAACAAGCACAACATCCATATTTTCTAAATAAAGACAAACTATACTTTTCTACAGCCTTTTCATTACAAATAGATGCATATATTTCATCATCCATACTGTCTAGATGGTATAGTGGACAAAATGTCTGGGGGAAACATCTTTTCCACTTTCATTACTTACCTACTTTTATCAAAAATTGTTCTGCATAACATTAATATGACGGATTTTAAAGTTATTATTAAAGTAGTTATTTATCTATGATTTCACTGAAAACTCCTTGATGATTTGCAGAGACACAATTTTCTCTTTACCCCATAAAACACAAAATTAGGGTCTTAAAAGAGCTTGAATTCTGTGTATATAAACTTTAATGTAAGTATTTTGATGTGCATAATTAACGACAGCGTTTTAGTTGTCAAGTAACTATTAATATATGAAAATTTAAACTGTTTAATAAGTTTAAACATTCCTCTTGATAGTATTACTGCTGCCACCGTCTGTATGAGAGGTAAAAAAAAAATGGTAAGGGTGGCCACAGTGGTGGCCAATGAGTGGCTACGGGTGGCCATGGCCACCTCTGGCCCCCCATCTAGCTCTGCCCCTGTAAAGACAGACAAACAAGCTGAATTAATAATCAGATTTAAATTGGTCTAGATTAGGGCTGAAACATTTGTCAGATTAATCATGATTAATCAATTATTGAAATAATAGTCAACTAATTTAGTAATTGATTAATCATTAAATAGAGTATAGCGACTCTAAAACATGCATTTAGCTGACAGAGCAACCCTTAGACCAGCAGTTATATCAATATTGTTGAAAACGTAAATATTTTGCATTTAAGATAAAAAAAACAAAATTTTATGTCCATCAATGCGCCCTATCCAGAACTCCTCAAGTGGAAAAGATTTAGTTTCACCTGGTTTAATTTCGTAAAAAAAAAGAAACCTTCGGCTATCGATAACTGACAGATTACAGATTAATCGATTTGAAAAATAATTGTTATTTGCATCCCTAATCTAGATACATAGATGAGTATCATTATAGTCTTGTTTCAATCAGTCTTGGTGGCCATAATGACTATAAATAATTAGAAACGCTTTTCTGGTCTGTTCCCATTAGATTCTTTGATCTTGAAATTGTCTTTGCATTTCTTTTTTTTCACGGTGCCATAATCTAAGACTGACCAGTTTAGTTCTGACTGCAAGAGAAATTAATTCCCTGAAGGACTAAAAGACCATCTTCACATATAGGTGTTTTAGACTCCTATGTGAGTTTGTTTAGATTCATCTCATCAGTGGCCAGGATAGTTTATCACTGCAGTTTTCAGAACAGAAATAAAAATGACAATATGTGTAAGATTTTGATCAATTGAGTCAGTCCCTTCTGCAGAATAACCATATAATTTATCTACAGCTCAGATGCACAGTTCAGCCTCAAAAGCCAAATGTTGTCTACAGCAGTAATGCATTTACACCAGGCAATCTGACACTCAATGAGCCTCAGAAAAGCCATTGAAAACTTTTTTTTTCATCCTTCCTCCCCGTGGTGGGCTGTCCTGGGCAGAAAGCCATACCGCCTACATCATAAACTACCACTGTTTTCAACATATAAAATCACAAACATACGCTAATGAGTTGCTGCGATCCACTGAAACATAATGAAAACCCAAACAAGCTCAGTGTCGTATAATTTATTATACAGTTTTATCCATCTATCTATCTTTACCCAATAATCCTTGAGTCACAGAGGGCTGGTGTCTATCTCCAGTGACCAAATGGACAGGTTGCCTATCCATCACAGGGCAACAAAGAGACACAACAATCGACAATCAATTTAGAGTAACTAATTACTCTTTAGTTGACTTTGGGAGCCTGGATTATATTCAACTTTAACATCCTGGACTCAGGAATAACAGCGCTACCAGCCACACCGCCCTGCATCCCTATTGATTGACACCGCTGTCCGCCTGAGATGTTATTGTATAAATGGTGCAAGTTATATTCAATTTCCATTTTCTTTTCAACTTGCCTTTTCAAATATTTTTTTGAAATTGCATTTTGTTAGTTTTTTTACCCTCACCATTTACCGTAACCCTTCTGTTCTGTAAACACTCAGAAAATCAGCTAACCAATAACAGTTGCACCACAGATGTAACCAGGTCATTTTGTTAACCAAGTGTGGCAATCTAACCAATGAGAGAGTTTAAATGCTGGGAGCAGAAGAGTCATGGAAAAGGCAAATGGAGCAGGTAAAGCAAAATGCAATTTCAAGAAGGATTGGAAAATTTAAGGTAAAAGAAAATGCAGATGGAATAAGGAATAATCCTTTTAAATGTGTGATTAAGAAAGGTATTTATAATGAGATTTATCGTATGAGTTTTTTATCTAGAATTTGAAAATACAATTCCAATGTTCAGTATTTAATAAAGCATTAATTCATCCAGTTCATAATTCCTCTTTAATAATTCAATTTAAAGCTACAGTGTGTAATTTTCAGCGACATCTAGCGTTCAGACTGCAGACCGCAGCAACATGAACATCTCCCCCCCACCGCTTCTCCCCCCCAACAGTACGGCGAGCGTTACGGGACAAAATGTCTTCCACGACATCCGCATCACCTACCTTCTCAAGTGATGAGGTTTGTTTACATAGATAATTTTACAGATAGTATTTCATTGGTCTGTGTGTTCAGTACCGTCTCAGTTCATCTCTCTCAACTTGCCGTAGTTACTTTCGAGCGTAATGGGTGATCTCGCAATCGCTAGTTTGTTGGCTCTGCGCTGCCGTAGCGCAAAGATGTCTGCCTCCATGGCTGCGAGACCCGCTCCTATGTAATTATAAATAACGAATTCTAAGGCAACGCAAATATTAAGGTTAAGAGGCTGAGCTCGTAGATGATGATAAATAACATAGTTATGTATAATATATTACATTTCTGACTGTATATCCCTGTAATTATTACACTGTAGCTTTAAAATGTGCAATTAAAATATGCTTTTCAAATGGCATCATTTCAATGTTAAATTTGAAATGTCTGGTTTTCTTTTTCAGTGAAATTCTCTGTCCTCCGTATAATTCAGTACAAAGACAATTCAAATTGCTTTACAATAAAATATAAAGCAATAAACAGTAAAATAGCAGAATAAAAGCAAGGAAAGATAAAAACATGATCAAATGTGCTCTACTTTCTGTGAGAACATGGGCAGCAGTGTTTTGGATCAGCTGCAGCTGATGAACTTAGGCAAGCGTTTTATACAGTTTAAGAACATTGTGGGTTTATGGTGCATTGTGAATTACAACGAAAAGAGTTTCTGTCAGGTTCTGTTTCCCCTTCCTCCTTGCAATTAAGGAAGGAAAACTCTGTCTCCTTTTGACCACACCTCCTATGTAAAAACCGGCTTGTACATGAGAGAAGGAAACTATTTCACCATCCCTCCATTTCAATCTCCTGCTAATTTAAGCCCTGTTATATTATATTTCACACCTTCACCTGTCATCTACGGTTACCTTTCCTATGCCCGCTGTCTGCCTGCAGCTGACCGACGGGTCAGTGACACAGGCCTGCCCTTTGTGGTCAGCATGTTGTCTCACTGCCTCTTTCATGAAACATAAGAATTCCTTACATGTACATTTAATCAAGGGTGGCAAAAATAACTTAAATACACATTAACATGAATTTAACACACTGAAGTAAACAGATAAATGGAGGCAGAAGATGTCTTTCAGCGATCAATGCACACATTCAGTGACACACAGGAGCTCTTTTAAGCTGGGCACCGTTTCATTCACAACACCTGTCCCATCAACCAGGAATTCGAATCAGAAATACTTTAATAATCCCAGGACAAGCACTTTCGTTACATTACTCCATATGTGATAGAGTGACTATAGGACCAGTTTGCTATAACACAATTTCATGCAATATATATATAATTAGGGGTTCCCCGCTCGTTCTCGCCGTCAGCTTTCGGGGTCCTTGGCCTGGAAAACATTGAAGACCCCTGGCCTAGGGTTAATGTTAAGAGGCTGGTTTGGGATTTTGCCATGCTGTTTCTGGAAGGACATATTTGATTATTAAACTCTTGACATCTGTAGGATAATCCACCAAACATAATTGTAAGCTTTCGCGTTTTTTTCTTGTTGCTTTTATTAAAAAAATAAAAAAGGGGACGAAAGAATCTTAAAAGCCCTGATTTTATTCCTCAATTATTTATTAATATTAAACCTGTAGGAACTCTATACCTTAGGTTGGACACAAAGAGGGTCATAAAACAAGTTTTCTGAATGGGACTAGCTAGTTTACAGCTAGAACAGCTGGATGGAATAAACCTGGAAGTGATTTTAGACTGAGGCTATTAACAGCTGAGAGGTTTTCTCTGTAGCCCTTATCAAAGAGGGAGAAATCACAGTAGAGGGAGGTCTTTTCTCTATAGAGTGTGAATCCTGCTGTCAAAAAAATCTGACATTAATCACAAGCTCTCTTCACTCCTCCACACTGTCCCCCTTTTTTTCACAGGCTCATTCTGCAGTTTTTTTTTATGTTTGACAAGTTGCTGAATCATTCTTGCTAGTTGTTTGGGATCACTGTTGCTCTTTGGTATCTTTCATAGATCTATGGTTTCCAGTTTAAAGGTTTCTGTTCTGTTATTTTTTTTACCACTTGTTTGAACAAAAACTCAATGTTTTAATTTAGCATTGCTGCCCTTTAAAATACAGCAGCTAATGACCCCTTTTAGATAAAAACATATAATTTCCTAGCCTTTCGATAGCATTTTAGTCAGAATATCCAGTCCGTTGAGAGGATGTTATCTTTTCTTATATTTGATAGCCAATGGGGCTTTACAGTAGCCT